AACTCTATAAACATTTCCCCAACAGTACAGTGTTTGCTGCCATTCTTTATGAAGATTCACCCAAAATCAAAATGACAGAATAAATTCATGTTATAAAAATTTTAAATCATTTTCTTTGGTAAAATCATTATTTTGATGTAATGTGTTACCCAGAACTAAAGCCCAAATTCTTCTCTATTCTATTTACCACTGAATCCTTCAAAGATGTTTACAATTGTGTACTAAAAGAACAGTGCACACACAACTAAAGGAATCTGATTAATACAAGTTTATGTAATATATCACCTAGTCTTTTCAAATTGTATTCAGAGATACTTTGTCTTGTTATTTTTATTTTGAAGAAAGTTCTAGGTCCCAGCAGGTGGAATGGTGGTTGAAGCACTGGACTCCCACATGGCTGACCATGGTTCAAGTCCTGGACCTGGTGGCTTGCTTTCTCATATCCCTCTCTCTCTCTCTTTCTCTCTCTGGTGAGTGAACATGCCCTGTAACAAATTTAAAAAAAAAATGGGGACCAGCAGTTAGCATAATGGCTATGTTGCTGGACTCCCATGTAATCGACCGCGGTCTGAGTCCTGGACCCAGTGACTTAAACTCATGCTGGGTACGTGTGTGTGCGTGCTGAAGATCCTGAGAGGAGAATGGAAGAGAAGGGATTGTGGTGTGGCCATCCCCACTAGGGAGGTGATTTCTCACTTTCTGTCTCTCTGTCTTTCTGGCAAGCCCTATAGCAAAATCCTCTCCCAAAAAAAAGAAAGAAAAATAAATAAATAAATAAAATTGAATAAATACATTTTTTAAATGTTCTATAATTTTAACCAGCAGATGGTGTAATGGTTATGTTGCTGGACTCCCATGTATTAACCATGGTTTGAGTCCCAGACCTGGTAGATTAAAACTCATGCTGGCGCATGCGTATGCATGCCCAAGATCCCAAGAGGAGAATGGAGGAAAAGGGATTGTGGTGTGGCCACAACCTCCCCCAGACTTGGAGGGGTAATTTCTCACTTTCCGTCTCTCTGGCAACCACAAGCACCTTATAGCAAAAACTCTAGGGGAAAAAAAAAATCTGAGACTAGCAGATGGCATAATGGTTACACTGCTGGACTCCCATGTCGTTGACCGCAGTTAAGAGTCCCAAACTCAGGGAACCAGCAGTTAACATAATGGCTCTGTTGCTGGATTCCCACGTAGTCGACCGCGGTTTGCGTCCCGGACCCGGTGGCTTAGAACTCACGCCGGGCGTGTGTGCGTGCGTGCCCAAGATCCCAAGAGGAGAATGGAGGAGAAGGGATTGCGGTGTGACTATCCCCCCTGGGGGGTGATTTCTCACTTTCTGTCTCTATGTCTCTCTCTGTCTGGTGAGCGCACACGCCCTATAGCAATAAATAAATAAATAAATAAATAAATAAATAAATAAATAAAA